CTACTCCTTGAGCCACAGGCGCCGCCCTCTCCTTTTTTTTTTTGAAGACAGAGGCTCAACAGAGGCTTAGTAGAGTGTTGTAATGTCATAGCTTACAGCAACCTCGAACTCTTGGGCTTAAGTGATTCTCTTGCCTCAGCCTGCCAAGTAGTTGGGACTGCAGGCACCCGCCATAACACCTGGCTATTTTTTTCATGCAGTTGTTATTTAGCAGGCCCAGGCCTGGTTCTAACCTGTCTGCCTTGGTGTATGTGGCCAGTGCCCTAACCACTGATCTATGAGCCCTGAGCTGAGAATCCTCTTTTTATGGTTAACAAAGAAGAGTAAAGATCAAGGTCTGGCCTTTTTTCTACCTGATGCTGTTAACATGTCTTAGTAAAGGCCGGGCATGGTGGCTCACGCCTGTAATCTCAGTACTTGGGAGGCTGAGGCAGGTGGATTGCCCGAGCTCACAGGTTCAAGACCAGCCTGAACCAGAGTGAGACTCCTGTCTCTAAAAAAATAGGCAGGCTTTGTGGTGGGTGCCTGTAGTCCCAGCCTCAGGCTGAGGCAAGAGAATCGCCTAAGCCTAAGAGTTTGAGGTTTCTGTGAGCTATGACACTACGGCACTCTACTGAGGGCAACAAAGTGAGACTCTGTCTTAAAAAAAAGTCTTAATAAAATGGGTGGTATGTAATTACTAGGAGGGATCTAGTGGTGATTCTTTCTTAACAGGCAAGATGATGTTATTAGATTAAGGCCTGCTGACCCCAAAGCTTCTAATGGTTACTTTAGTATTGAGACCAGCAGCCATTGTATATTGAGGAAAGAGTCCTGGACTATGGATCAGGCCCTCTGTTTTCATCCAGCTAACCTCTCTGCTTATTGATATTCTTTTCTTTATTTTTTTTGTAGAGACAGAGTCTCACTTTGTCGCCCTCGGTAGAATGCTGTGGCATCACACAGCTCACGACAACCTCCAACTCCTGGGCTTAGGCAATTCTCTTGCCTTAGCCTCCCGAGTAGCTGGGACCACAGGCGCCCGCCAGAAAGCCTGGCTAGTTTTCTGTTGCAGTTTGGCCAAGGCTGGGTATGATCCTACCACCCTCAGTATATGAGGCCAGCGCCCTACCCATTGAGCCACAGGTGCCACCTTCTTTTTTTTTTTTTTAATCCAACATTTTTTTTTCTTTTTTGAGACAGAGTCTCACTATGTTGCCTTCAGTGGAGTGCTGTAGCGTCTCAGCTCACAGCAACCTCAAACTCTTGGTCTGAAGAGATTGTCTTTTTTCTTTTTTGAGACAGAGTCTCACTATGTTGCCTTCAGTGGAGTGCTGTAGCGTCACAGCTCACAGCAACCTCAAACTCTTGGTCTGAAGAGATTGTCTTTTTTTTATTTTGTTTTGTTTTGTTTTTCGAGACAGAGCCTCAAGCTGTCACCCTGGGTAGAGTGCGGTGGCATCACAGCTCACAGAAATCTCCACCTCCTGGGCTCAGTCCATTCTCCTGTCTCCGCCTCCTAAGTAGCTGGGACTACAGGCGCCTGCCACAATGCCCAGCTATTTTTTGGTTGCAGCTGTCATTGTTGTTTGGTGCACCTGGGCTGAATTTGAATTTGCCAGCTCAGGTGTATGTGACTGGCGTCTTAGCTGCTTGAGTCACAGGTGCCGAGCCTGCTTGTTGATTTTTCTCATCTAGCCTAGTGAGGAAATTAGTTTAAGTGAGTGATTGTGCTGATGGGATTAGTAGGAGCTCAGAATCTTCTCAGACTTTCAGAACATGAATTTTTTTTTTTTTTTTAAGAGACAGAGTCTCAACTTTGTTGCCTTTGGTAGAGTGCTCTGGCGTCATAGCTCACAGCAACCTCCAGCTCTTGGGCTTAGGCAGTTCTCTTGCCTCAGCCTCCCATGTAGCTAGGACCACAGGTGCCTGCTACAATGCCTGGCTATTTTTTTGTTGCAATTTGGCTGGGGCTGGGTTTGAAGCCGCCACCCTTGGTTTATGGGACCAGTACCCTATTCACTGAGCCACAGGCCCTGCCCCAGAACATGAATTTTTAAATGCTGAGAAACAAACTGTCCATTTTTTGACATTTATTAGGCAACTAGAAGTTTGAATACCAACTGGATAGTTGTTGATGTTAAGAAATTGTTAAGATCACCTATTTGGTCTGTCTAACAAGGGTACAGGTGAACTTTCCTAGAACTAGAGTATAAATGTTTTAACACAGTAACTAAGTAAATGACATAAAGTCTATATTAATCAGCTTGATGAAAGTATTTCAAATTGTATATGAAAACACTACACTGTACCCCATGTTTGCATTAATGTATACAGCTATCATTTAATAAAAAAAGAAAGAAATTGTTAACTTGGGCGGTGCCTGTGGCTCAGTGGGTAGGGCGCCAGCCCCATATACAGAGGGTGGTGGTTTCAAACCCGGCCCCAGCCAAATTGCAGCAAAAAAATAGCTGGGTGTTGTGGCGGGTGCCTATAGTCCCACCTACTCGGGAGGCTGAGGCAAGAGAATCGCCTAAGCCCAGGGTTTGGAGGTTGTTGTGAGCTGTGAATGTCATAGCACTCTACTGAGGGTGATAAAGTAAGACGGTCTCTTAAAAAAAAAACAAAGAAATTGATTATACATGGTAATAGTATTGTATTTAGGATCTAAAAACAATCCTTTTTATTTGGGGTGGATGGATTAATTTTAGTTTTTTTTTTAGGCATTGTCTTGTCTGTTGCCCAGGCTAGAGTTCAGTGGTGTCATTATAGCTCACTATAATCTCCAACTCCTGAGCTTAGGAGATCCTCTTTCTGCAGCCTCCCAAGTAGCTGGGACTATAGGCATCTGCCCTCACACCTAATTTTCAGTTTTTCTTAGAGACGAGGTCTCACTGTTATCCAGGCTCGTCTTGAATTCCTGGGCTCAAGGGATTTTCCCACCTTGGTCCCCCAAAGTGCTATAATTTAGAGGTATGAACACAGTGCCTAGCAAGAATGGAATGAATTTAAAAAGAAAAAAGATTATATACACCAACTAGACTTCTGTAAGGTCTGTGCAAGCCATTAAATGGTTTTGTTTCTGGCACTGATGAGCATTTACTATGTGTTTCCTTTATGGGAATGGACTACTGTTATTACTTAACAGCCCAGGAGCTTTGAGGAGGGAGGAGAGGGGTAGGGACAATGTGCTATGTGTCAGAGACCAGAAAATGGACTCCTTGCCTTTGGTGAGCAAACCTCTTAGGAATTTCCCAAGGGTGAAATCTAAAAAAGTGGGAAAAGCCTTGGTGAAAAAGGCCATACCCTCTCTACTGTGCTTCCTTCTTCTTGAGCTGCAGGGTACAATAGTATATGGGCTCATCCACGTACCTACATGTCAACGACCTACAAAGTGATATTGTCAGAGCAATCTTCGAAGTCTTCCCTTTAGTTCTATCGTTCTGTTAATAATGCACCTATTTCCTTTTCTTTGCATTCCCTTCCTGTTCTTGTATGTAATAAAAGCTGACCTTTATAGTTGAATGCATATTGTATTCGGGTGCTTTATGTGGACTGTCTCATTTAATCCTCACAACAACTGTGGAAAGTAGGTCCTATCATCTGCTTCTCATAGATGAGGAAAGGGAGGCTCAGAGAGTAAGATGAGTCTCTGACTGTAGAGTTTATGTTCTGTTAACCATTTGGCACGTGTCCTTTTGTATTTAGCTTCTTCCCTATTGTGAGTTACTTCTTCAGCATAAGTTCTTAGGAGGGGGATGACTGGCTTAAAGGGTCTGGATGTGGTAACCTGGCAAAGCTTTGACCCTTGTTCACTACCTCTCCTGCCACAGCGCCTGCCTCCAGCACCCTGAAGATGCCATGCGATATGTCCTCCTTACCAGGTTGGTGATGGCTGCCTCATGGTGGGCCCTGGACATATGCGGAGTCCTGCTGAGCTGTCCATGTGTCTGAAGACCTCTTTAAGACAGCCATTTTTGCCTCTGCCAACTCTCTTCAGGGTTGGGCCTTTGGGTCTTCAGAGAAGCTGTTAGGTTAGGTGATATGGCACCAACAAGGGAAGCACCATCCTCTAGGATCTGCAAGTACAGTTCCAGAATCCCCAGCCTCAGCAGATCTGGCTATGCATGGTTCAGAGCATACTTCCCTGCTTAAGCTGAAGTTTGACCCTAGTTTCAGTGTTGGACTGAGCACTGTATTACATGAAGGAATTTCCTTTTGGAAGTCTGCACTACCCCGAGTTGGGAAGAAATTTCCACATTGTCTAGGGCTACAGTAGTTAGGATTGAAAGCTCTTTGCTAAGGACTGGGCTGGTCCTGGCTTACAGGTGGTTCAGAGCCAAAAGGGATTGCTTTAGATATCACTGTTGCCTTCACTGAGCAGCAATGGGAGAGTTTTTTATGCAGCTCCTTTCAGAAACCACACCAGATACTGAATAACCTGTTGAGACTTGGAAACTTAAGATTTTTGTGTTTCACAATGAAGGCAAAGAGAACTGGGCTGTCATCTTTCCTCTGTTTTGGCATACTTTAGATGTGGGAAGCTCGTGGTTGCCAAGAGGTGAGAGGTGGCTCTGTTTTCTTTTTTACCATGCTTTGAGCAATTCCTATATCCAGAGAGTTTTCAGGTCCAGATAGGCTGAAGAAGAAGAATGGAACAGCAAAGTACGGGGTTAAAGAACATGCCAATAGTCTTATGGTGAAAAGAACTTGGGCGTGGGTCTCTGCATCTGGCACCTAAGGAACTGGTGATTCAGCTGGAGAGGAGAAGAATTTGCCAAGTCAGAGGGAAGAAAGGCCAAACCCCGAAAGTCCTATCTTCAGTGCCTGAAGGTGAAGTAGGAACAAGTTGCATAGTATTTTGGCCTTTGCCGGAAGGTTGGGGCATCAGAACACAAAGGTCGTCCGTTAGTGTTTTTGTTTCTGAAACTTTTTGGTGTTTGCTTAGAAGTGGGAAGATTACTGGCAGTGACTACTGTGCAGGGATATTGCTACCCGCCTGAACCCAGCAGGTATTAATCCCTGGAAAAATGGTTAAGAAGATGGAGCTCTGAACTTATCCTTACCTCTTTATAACACTTGTGTGCAAAGATAGTTTTAGGTTTGTTTTAGAACTTATCCTCCAGAGCAGATTCCTTTCTGTTCTATACTTAAGAGTGTTTTCCAGTCAAGGTAATGCATAGGGCAGCCCATGTGTGATCTTCTCAGTGTCCTTTTCTATAGGCAGGGAGAGCCACAGCGTGACTGAAATTGTGGTCCAATTAGTCTTCACTAGGCTCCCTGTGTTCAGTCCAGTTAGTGGCAGCTAGGTGGGAGTACAGTGTGCAGGAGTTTTGGATGAGGCTGGTCAGGGGGCTGTAGGTAGGGGGCTGTACCTTCCCTCACTGATCTCCTAAAGAACTGGTCTCAGCAATATATCCCAAAAAATTAGGCTGGATTTTTGCATTAGCTGGTAGATAACTTTCTGAAATGTCTGAAATTCAGGAGGTATTTATTATAATAAATTTGGGGAAGGTATAAAATTTGAAAAAGGCCTTCAGGATTCAGGTGTTTGATTGCTTTACAAATAGGATCATAACACACTAAAAGAGCAGAGTACAGTAAGGCTGTACAAGACTATGTGGAACTTTTAGGAATTAATTAAGACAGACAGAAGGTCTTAAACCATCTATTCTTGACTTAGGAAAGCAGCCTAGATGATGTTGCAAGTGCTACTCCTGAAAGATGCTGGCCCAATGTGTGCTGGGGCCAAAGAGAAACTAACAAGTTGACCAGCCTTTGTGGTCAGTCCTAATGTGCTTCCTATGGATGACTTCCTGAGGCTTGGGCTATACAACTTGGAGAACTCCAGAACTGTGGAGAAGGGGAGCTGTGAGAACGTTGGTGGTTCTATACCTTGAGGGACAGGCTAACAGGGGACCGGTTGAAGTTTATTTAGTCATGTCCCCCAGTTCCCTTCTCAAGCCACACTTTTTGAAATGCAAAAGCAAGGTTTACCTATTTCATAGCAAACCTTGAGTCTATACTTCAGAAAGTGATGTAATTAATTGGTGGAGAAAGTACAAAGATAAAGAAGGCCTTAAATTCTTGGATAACAGATGTATGTTGATACCTTATGAAAGATTTCCTTGGGCTTTGAGAATAGGTCACTGAGGGAGGAAGATCTACTCTTTATTCTTTGTCCTAATAGTGGAACAATTTTGGACTGGATGGGGTTATAGAGCTGAGCCCCTGTGGCAATTCTATTCTTACGATAACAAAAACAATTAAAAAAGCCAAAACCACCTTTGGATTGCTTCACCTTGTTTTCAGTTGACTTCTCATGTGTATTCTGGTAACTACCAATAAAGTGGGCACAGAAAATATAGCTAAAATACTGTAATGCTAGTGATCATCTCAAAGATGCCAGGTAGTGTGAGATAGGTACTATAATTCCCTTTTTACAGGTGAGGAAACTGAGGCACAGAGAAGTCACACAGCAGAAAGTGGCAGAAGCCAGTGACGGAACCCAGGCAGTCTGATATCAGAGTCTGTTCTACTCTGCACTGTTCTGGGATTCTGAGATTCTGAGATGGGAGGCTGGAAATGGAGGTTAGCCAAGGAGGCAAGGAGATGGTGGTTTGGCCTACATGTGATCCCTTTCAGTTTATTTCTCACCAGGTCAATAATGAATGATGCTGTTATGGGATGAGATGGGTGGGGAGGAGGGTTTTTGGCTGGGCCTGAGTCAGGAGGTGGGGTCCCTCACCCTTGATCCTGAGAGATCAGTATCCTTTTGCACATCCTATACTTCACCTACCCTTAATAAATAAATACTTAGAGATGAATGAATGAACTCTAGCCTCTAGATTTGTGAACTTGTTTCCAAGAGGACCTTCCTTCCAAACCTTAATTTCTGGGTCCTTACACTTGGCACTAGAGCCCTCTGGGTGGAGATTGCTTTAGTAAACTGCTTGTAGTATCTAGTATACCTGGGGCACATCTTGTTACTGTCCTTAGTGGAGACCAGGTGCAGGTGCTCTACCCTCCCTCTCAATTCTAGTCTTACTAACTCTGCTGGGGTGGATGAAGTAAGATGAGGATTAGATTGCTTAAGTGACAGCTGTCTTATTTCAGAAGTGTAGGGACAGGATTATAGCAAATTATAGTGCAGACAAGTCTTTGTTACTTTATCTTCTTTTCAAGCATACGTCAAAATTGTCAAAATTTAGTCAAAATTGATGGTTTCAAGAAGCAGAAACCTATTTATTCAACAAAAAAAGCTATAAAGGGGAATATTTTCTCTAGGGGCATTCTTATAGACAAGGATCCTCAACAGTTTTTGCTGCTTGCCTCATGACCTCAAGTGGCTTGGACTTACTGGGAACCAGTTTTTATCACACCATCACAGGGCTTTTCAGCTGTGGGAACCTTCATGGGTGGCCAGTCTCCCTGTCTTTCACTTCAAATTCTGAAGACAACCAGATTGGTTCAGTCTCACTTGTAAATTGGTTCTTCTTATCCCTTCCCTTTTGGTCTAGTAATAGTGTCCAGAGGATGAAGTCTTGTGGTTCATATTATTATCTTTCTAACAAGAAGTCTTTAGGGATTAAAAAACACACACACTGTTGGGCTATTTAGGTATATGTGTGTTTTTAACTTGCAGTGACAATAGAGGGAGGTCCATGTCTCCTTCACCATGTTTTCCCCATTGCTTGCATCTCGCATAACTAGTAGTTCAAAATGAAAACCAGTAAAATGACATTGGCATGATGTGTGTACATAGTTCTACATCATTTTATCCCTATAATCACAATCAAGACACAAAACTGTCCCATCAGCAAAAAGCTCTCCTTCGTGCTACCTCTTTATAGTTGTACACCCAGCCATTTCCAACCTACCATTCCTAACCCGTGGTAATCACTAACTTCTTCTACATCTCTAGACATAGAATGACATATGCCATATTTTTGCCATGTGTAATGTACACTTTTGGGCAAAAATTTTTAGGGAAAAATAAAGATGCTCTAAATTAGACATGGGTAGTGGTAATTTTATTATCTATATAAGTATTTTTAATTATGCTTATATGTTAAAAGTGTAACTGAAAAAAACAAATGCTAAAGTTCCTTTATAATACAATAAACAAGTACCTAAATACAAATAGAAATTTGAATTAAAAAATTAAAATGAGAGTTTTTTTTTTTTTCCTGAAAGTACATTCCCTTTTAAGATCGTCTTGTTTTTACTCAGTATAATTCCTTTGATAGTCATCCAAGTTATGTGTATCAGTAGTATTCCTTTTACTACTGAATAGTATTCCATGGTATTGCTGTACCACCATTTGTGTAACCATTCACCTGTTGAGAAACATTTTGATGTCTCCAGTTTGGGGCTATTACAAATGAAGGTCCTGCTGTGAGCAATTGTAGGTTTTTATAAAAACATGAGTTTTCATTTCTCTGGGATAAATGCCTAGGAGTGTGATTATTAGGTCATATAGTACGTTTTTAGTTTTTTAAGAAACTGACAAGCTGTTTTCCAGAGTAGTTGTATCATTTTACAGCATGAGGGATCTAGTTTCTCTGCATCCTTACCAGCATTTGATACTCTTATTTTTTGTTTTAGCCATTCTAACAGGTATGTAGTGATAATCTCATTGTGGATTTTTTTTTTTTTTTGAAGACAGAGCCTCAAGCTGTAGCCCTGGGTAGAGTGCCATGGTGTCACAGATCACAGCAACCTCCAACTCCTGGGCTTAAGCAGTTCTCTTGCCTTAGCCTCCCAAGTAGCTGGGACTATATGTGCCCGCCACAACACCTGGCTATTTTTTGGTTGTAGTAGTCATGGTTGTTTGGCAGGTCCAGCCTGGATTTGAATCCGCCAGCTCTGGTGTATGTGGCTGGCACCTTAATTAACCACTTGAGGTATAGGCACGGAGCCTCATTGTGGACTTTAAAAAATAATGTTGAGGTTTGTTTATGTTCTAGGATACAGTGGTCTAACTTGTGGGGGGGTGCTTGAAAAGAGCATGTATTCTGCTGTTGTGGGGTGGAGTAGTTTGTAAATATTGATAAAATTCTGTTGCTTGATGGTATTGGTGAGTTCTTGTATATCCTTGCTTCTGTCAAGTTATTCTATTGATTGTTAAAAGAATGGTGTTGAAATCTCCACCTGTATTTATGGAATTGTCTACATCTTTTTTCAGTTCTGTTAAGTTTTTGCTTTAAATATTTTGCGGTGTATTTGGTACATACAAATTAGTGATGCTGTCTTTTTGATGGATTGACCCTTTTATCATTATGTAATGTTCCCTCTTTGTCCCTAGTAATTTTCTTTGCCCTAAACTTTAGGGACTAAAGTCTACATTATCTGACATTCATATAGCTATGCCTGCTTGCTTCATTTTTATTTTTATAAGAGAGAGAGGGTCTTGCTGTGTTGCCCAAGCTGGAGTACAGTGGCTCACTTGTAGCCCATAGCAGTTTTGAACCCCTGAGTTGAATTAGCTCTCTCACCTTGGCCTTCTGAGTAGCTGGGACTATAGGCACCTCCCACAATGCCCAGCTGTTTTTAGAGATGAGGTTTTGCTCTGACTCAAGCTGGTCTTCAACCTGTGAGCTCAGGCAGTCCACCCGCCTCAGGCTCCCAGAGTGCTAGGATTACAGGCATGAACCATCGCTCCTGGCCTTAAGTGAGTTTCTTATAGCCTGCATCTGCAAAAATCCAGATAGGATTTTTTTTCTCTGCCAATCTCTGTCTTATAATTGGTGTTTTTAGACTTTTCCAATTATATGTAATTATAGATATGGTTTTTATTCTCTGTTTCTGTTTTCTTTTTCTTGCCTTCTAGTGAGTTACTTGAATACTTTTTTAGAATACAGTTTTAATTTGTTGAAAGTGTTTTTCTGTATGTCTCCTTATATTTTTTTTTTAGTGGTTGCTCAAAGTGTTACATTGTGTATACATAACTTATCACAGTCTCCTGGTATCCACATTACCCTCTCCCATTTCTAATGTAATTGTTTATATACTTTGAGAACCACTTCAGACAGTATTTTAAGTTTTGCTTCAGACATAATTCAGAAAACTCAAGAGAGGGAAAATCTGTTGTATTTATCCATATTTTTATCCTTTTTCTTTGTTCTTTCTTCCTCCCTAATATTCTGAGATTCCTTCTTTTATCATTTCCTTTCTGCTTAGAGAACTCCCTTTGGCCATTTTTCTTTTGTTGTCAGCTGGCAACACGTTTAGTGTTTCTTTGCCTAAGAATGTTTTAATTTCCTTTTCATTAATAAAGGATATTTTTGCTAGATATAAAATTCTGGGTTGACGTTTCTTTCAATATTTGAAAAATGTTGTGATACTTCTTTGTTTTTTGATGAAAAATTCACTGTCATTTGAATCATTTTCCCTTATAGGTAAGATGTCATTTCTTTCTTTGTGCTTTCAATGTTTTTTTCTTTCTTTCCTTTCTTTTTTTTTTTTAAGAGACAGAGTATGGCTCTGTTGCCCAGACTGAAACGCAATGGTACACAATCATTGCTGCCTGTAGCCTTAACTCCAGAGCTCAAACCATCTTCTACCTCCTGAGTAGCTAGGACTACAGACATGCCTCACCACACCTAGCTAGGTGTTTTTTCTATTTGGGGGTTTGTTTTTTTCTTAACATACTTTTAGAGATGGGGGTCTTACTATGTTGCTCAAGCTGGTCTTGAACTGGCCTCACGCTCCCCTTCTACCTCATCCTACTAAGTTATAGTCCTGAGCCACTGTACCCAGTTCCTCAATATTTTTTCTTTGTCTTGAGTTTTCAGATTTTACTATGATGTGTGTTGGCATAGATTGGGGTGGGGGGGAATCCTATTTAGGGTTTGTTCAGCTTAAATCTGTAAGCTTACGCCTTTTTACCAAATTTGAGGGATTTTCACCCATATTTTTTTAGCCCTACCTTCTTTTTCCTCTCTCTCTTTTTTTTTTTTTTTT